AAAAATATAGATGCTGCTTATCTGCAGTGTCCCATTGCTCCATAAGAATGGTTCCACCTAGACTTGGAGAAAGGAATGTTGAGTGGTTAGCTATTTGGAGGAAATCAAAATATATCTCTTCCTGCTAATGCGCGGTCAATTCCTGGAACGTCTGAGGAATCCAGAGCAGAGTCAGAAAAAGGTGGTTAATGATTAAATACAAAATAATAATTACAACTCTGTCCATCCAACCATGGCAAAGGTAAATGAGGATACAATGGCTGACTTGGATAAATAGTCTTCTGACCTTCTATTGGGCATGCCATTCCTTTCCTCATCTCTAAAATGGGGAAAATAATCGCACCTGAATGAGTCTTCTTGTGACAACTGACGGGAGCATACATTTGAAGCTCCTAGCAGGGTGCTGACACATGACAAGCAAGCACTTAAACAAAACAAAACAAAACAAAACAAAAAGAGAGAAAAAAAATCTGTCCTTAAGTGATTTCTTTCCTCTGGGGCTCTCTCTTTTTCTTTTAAATATTTCATATTTGGTTTTATATAAACCATATTACATATAATAGTAAGTATAAGGTTATATGCCATATCTTATGCTAACCAAAATACATCACAAACATTTGTCACCCACATGTGTGTGCGTGCCTGTATGTGCCCACACCACATGCACACACATGCACCTTATGAATTCACACTGACACGTATGATTTCCAATTCAAACCCTGGGCTACAGAGCTCCTATTGAACTTGTGGAGTACAGTGGTGTCTGTTCTCTCACACCCAGAGCCTTGTTCTCAAGGAAACAGGTGATGATCCCGGACACTCACTTCATCCATGATATCCTGCAGTAGTGTCAATGCTAATCCTCTGGGGCTCTCTTAACCCTTTGTGAACTAGCGCCTTGGAAAGTATAACATTGATTGAATTTTCCCTACTGGATGGTAAACCTTTTGTAGGCTCGGATTTCCTTCAGTTAATCTTAACTTCCAATATCAAGATCAATATCAATTCTTGATAGAAAAAAATGATTTTCATCAAGTTGTACATATACAATATGATATATTGATGTTCTAATAGCATATATTCTTACACCTATTAGGTGATAAATATGTATCTATGCAGTTGAATTGAATGTGTTTGACTTCTACACTAAACTGGATGCTTGTTGTGGGTAAGTAACTTATATTTGTACTTTGTAGAATCTCTCTCAGGACTGCATAAAATAGGTCATTATAAAATAGATGTTGTTTTTATCTTCAACTTCTTTTAATTAGAGGGCAATGACATTTCTAATTCCTAATACGGACACTGTTGTTTTCACAAATTCCTTTCTTGACTCCCTCTCTCTGTTCTTCCTGGTTCATCAGTGTTCCAGGAAAAATCTTCAGCCAAAGCCATCTTTATACAGTAGTCCTCCCACCATATTTATCCACTGCTTCACTTTTTTGAGGTTCTAGTTATCCATAGTCAACCATGGTCTGAAAATATTAAATGGAAAGTTCCAGAAATAAACATTTCATAAATTTTAACTGCACCTCCTTCTGAGTAGCATGATGAAATTTTGTACCATCCTGCTCCATCTTACTAGGGATGTGAATCATCCTTCCATTCAGAGTATCCACACTGTATGCTACACATCTGTTAGTCAGTGGTAGTTTTTGTCATCAGATTGACTATTGAAGTAACCCTTATGTAGTAGCCTATAAGTGCCCTGTCATTTATCTTGCTTCAGCTCACTACATAAATGTTGTTGTATCATCTTATGTCAACACAAGAAGAAGGGGGAGTGTAGATAGTGATACGTAACAATAGCCAAGTTATGAAGTCAGTTGAGTTGCCCATCAATAGACAAAGGGATAAAGAAAATGTGGTGTATCTACACATGGAGTTTTAACCAGCCTTAAAGAAGAATAAAATTGTGTCATTTTTCTGGTAAATGGATGGAACTGGAGAATATCATGATAAGTTAATAAACCAGACTCAGATAGGCAAGTGTTGAATGTTTTCTCTCATATGTGAAAGCTGGGGAGTTTTAAAAAATGGGATCTTATGATGATACACAATCAATCAACAAATATATGAAAAAATGTTCAACATTTCTAGCAATTAGAAAAATGCAAATCAAAACTACTCTAAGATTTCATCTCACTCCAGTTAGAATGGCAGCTGTTAAGAACACAAACAACAATAAGTGTTGGTGAGGATGTGGGGGGAAAGGCACATTCATGCACTGCTGATGGGACTGCAAATTGGTACAACCAATCTGGAAAGCAGTATGGATATTCATTGGAAACTTGGAATGGAACCACCATTTGACCCAGCTATCCCACTCCTCGGTTTATACTCAAAGGACTTAAAAACAGCATACTACAGTGACGCAGCCACATCAATATTTATAGCAGCACAATTCCCAATAGCTAGACTGTGGAACCAACCTTTAAGCCCTTCAGTAGATGGATGGATAAATAAACTGTGGTATATAAGCACAATGGAATATTACTCAACATTAAAAGAGAATAAAATCATTGCATTTACAGGTTAATGGATGAAGTTGGAGAATATTATGCTAAGCGAAGTAAACCAATCCCCAAAAAACCAAAGGCCGAATGTTTTCTCTGATATGTGGATGCTGATCCATAATGGGGATGCGGGGTGGAGGGAGCATGGGAAGAATGAAGAAACTTTAGATATGGTAAAGGGGAGGGAGGAGAAGAAAGGGGGAATGGGAGTAGGAAAGCTGGTGGGATAAGATGGACATCATTATCCTAAGTACATGTATAAAGACATGAATGGTGTGACTCTACTTTGTCAATAGCCAGAGATATGAAAATTGTGCTCTATATGTGTACAATGAATTGAAATGTATTCTTCTGTCATATATAACAAATTAGAATAAATAAATACATTTAAAAATGGGATCTTATGAAAACAGAAAGTAGAATAGTACAAAAGAGAAAGGGGATCAAGAAGGAAGCAAGAGAGATGGCAAAGGGGAGGAACTGAGGAATGGATTGACCAAATTACTCTATGTGCATGTACAAATGCATCACAATGAATTCCAGTTTTATGTATAAGTATAATGCACTAATCAAAAAATAAAGTACTAGAAGGAACACTAATGGAATAGAGGAAGAGGATTAAGAGGACATAGGAGAGGAGAGAACAGGATAGTACTGGGGATTGAAATGGAGCAAATTATGTTATATGCACTTATGAATATATAATAATGAATACAATATATAATAGTTACACAATTTTACAATTGTGTAAAACTATAATGTACTAATAAAAAACACAAATAAATTTTTAAAAAGTATGAGTACAGTACAATAAGATTTGTCTTAGTGAATTTTTTGTTGGTGCATAATAATAAAAGATTTATTGTGACATATTTGTACATGCACATAACATAATTTGGTCAATTTCATTCCCTAGTACTTCCCATAATAAGATATTTTGAAAGGGGGAGAGAGAAAGAAGAGAAGGAGAGTCTATATCATCAGAACTTTTATTACAGTGTATTATTATAATTGTTCTATTTTATTATTAGTTATTGATGTTAATCTCTTACTGTGCCTAACTTATAAATCAAATTTAATCTAGGTATACATGTGTGTAGAAATTCGTAAGAAAAACAGTGCAGTTATATGTAGGGCTTAGTGCTAGCCACCGTGTCAGACATTTAGGAGTTTTGGAATGTATGCCTGGGGGTAAGGGGTGGGCAGTGACTACTTCCATTCTCTTTGCCAGAGATTGGTTCAGGAAAGTGTGAACGATGCTTTCTGCCTAATGAGACTAGGAAGGGGAGTTTGAGGAAGTTTTCTTTCCTCTTTAAAAAGAGACAAACAAGAAAGAACATCCTCTTTTCTGCCTTAGGTTGCATCTGGGTGGGTTGCTGATTTGGGGAGCTAAGGCAAACGAACTGAGCTCACCAGAGAGGACATGCTAAGAAAGACCTTTGGTATCTGATGATCTTTTGGGCCCCTGAAATAAACTATACAGGATTTCCTAATTAGGCATGTGAGATAATAGGGCCTGTCCCTGTCTCAGACATCTTGCAGAAAGTTTCCTGATGTACTTTCCACTTGTTACTCACTTCCCTTTTGGGTAAATCCTGGAAGTGGGACTCTTGTTCACAAGACTAAAGGAATTATCAACAGGAGACTAAGGAAGCTATGGGAATTAACACAAAGTAACCAGGTATTAATATTTATTTAGTACTGTAATTCATACCTCACCTATTTTATTTTATTTTTTGGTAGTACTAGGGATTGGACCCAGGGGTGCTCAATCACTGAGCTACAACCCCAGCCCTTTCTATTTATTTTTTAAAAATTTGAGACAGGCTTTCCATAAATGGCTGAGGGTCTCATTAAGTTGCCTAGGCTGGTTTCAAACTTTAGGTCCCCTGCCTTAGCCTCCCAAGTCTCTGGGGTAATAGGTGTGTGCCACTGTGCCAGGCTCTAGTTCATGTACTTTAAAATTTAAGAGACTTATATAAGAGCATTGCTTCTGTGGGGAAGAGAAAAAACTGACAACACTTGATCATTTATACCAGGTGGGAGAAGATCGGTCATGCACCACATAGAGATGTTTTGGTCAATGGCAGGCCTCATATATGACGGTATATGCCATAGAGTCTTCATGTGCGGTAGGTTCTACTATCTAGGTTTGTGTGAGTGCCTGCTTTTGTGTCTGCACTGCCACAAAATGGCTTAATGATGTGCTTCTCCAACATATCCCCATTGTTATGCAATGCATGATACATACCTGTATTTTGAAAAAGTTAAAATACATGCACAGAATAGTTATGGGGAGAAAGGAGCATCTGGCTTCCCATGAGTTTCAGCGCTGGGGCCAACAGTGATGTCAGTCAGTGAAGGCCATTTATGTGGGCACTCTCACCAGGGAAAGGGAGAGCTCTTTGGTGAATAGGAAGGAACTACCCTAAGGTTTTGTGGAGAATGGCACAAGCAGGAAGTAAAAGAAAGAGGGAAACTTACTCTGGGCAGCTGGAGTAGCACCTGCCTTGGTAGAGGAAGAGAGGGCGTTCTGGCTGAGACTGGCACTTTTTGCAGAGATCAGCTCCGGAGCAAGAGGCACAATCCTCTGTACAGTTCTCACAGCTGCCACTCTTGACTGAGGGCCAAGTGCCTTCGGGACAGGAGGAAACACAGGCATGCTCCAACAGATAGGCACCTAGGAATCCAGGGAAGAGGGCAGGGAAGAGTGATCATGTATTTGTCCCAGCAGTGCACTCACCATGGAGAGAACTGACACCTAAGTGGCTTTTCTTAATATTTCCAAAGCCCAAGTATTTGGAACATTTATTTCAAGTTTTCCAAAATACTTAGGTGATGCTAAATCCTCTAAGATGAGTTAAATCTTTAGGAAAAAAAAAATAACTGCAGGAGGTTTTTGCTGTTTCTTTTACTTTTCTGGGACATTAGAGGTCACTGTAGAGCTTCCCTCTGCCCAGCTGATCAGCCTCCCTGATCTCTTCCAGGTGTGAGGCAGCCACACTTGCACAACTGGATGAGGCCTCCTCTTTTGCCTCCCCCATTCCATCCTGCAGGGACACTAGCACAGCAGCAGTCCCTCCAATTACTTCCCCTTTTAATGGATGATCCATCTATTTATTTATGTTTAATTGAAAAATTAATCCAGACATTATTATTTAAAAAAATTAAAAATCACTCTCAATTCTAAAATTCCAAGAAGTTTCTTCCAGTTTTTTTTTGGATGCACACTTTCATATCTTCTGTGGTTGTAGTTCTGACACATTTATTATTTTAACTTCTGCATCATATCTCACTGCAGTAGTTCCCACTTAACCACAGTTTTACCATCCAAAGCCTCAGTTACTTCAAGCTAACCGAGGTCCAAAATATTAAATGGAAAATTCCAGAAATAAAAAATTTATAAGTACTAAATAATTTTGTGACAGCATATTGTTAAAATTTTTCAGATTTTAACAACATAGTTACTGTTTTTAATCCCTTACTATGTCTGATTTATAAAATAAATAGGAATGTATATATAGGAAAAAACATAGTATATACTGGGTTCAGCACTATCCACAGTTTCAGGTGCCCATTGGGAATTTTGGAATATATTCTCTGAGGATAAGTGGAGACTACTGTATTAACACTCACATTCCAACATGGCCTTAGGAATGATCACTTTAATGACAGTATAACATTCTTTTTGTTAATGTACCATGTAAATAAAATAGCCTTCTAGTTCAGTTATGTTATTCATAACATTTTTACAGAGAATGAAGTTAATAATTTGTTGAGCTAGTATGTAGACGCCCATGTTCTCCCCTCCACCATCACTAAATTTGATATCATTAATGAAGAACAGTGGCAGTCATTCTTTTTTTCCCCACACTACTGGCGATTGAACCCAGGGGTGTTCAACCACTAAGCGACATCCTCAGCCCTTTTCACTTTTTATCTTGAGACAGGGTCTTGCTATGTTGCCCAGCTGGCCTCGAACTTGAATGATCCTCCTCCTTCAGCCTCCCTAATCACTGGGATTACAGATATTTGCCACCATGCCCAGTTAGATAATGCATTTTAAGAGAATGGAGTACCCATAGCCATTAGTAAATTCTGTGGGGCCAAGTCAACCAATAACTTCATTGTGTTTTGGGATTAAAAAACATTTTCTCTGGGCTGGAGATATAGCTCAGTTTGTAGACTACTTGCCTAGCATGCATAAGGCCCAGGGCTCAATTTCCAGCATCCACCAAAATAAATAAATAAATTTTTTCCCCTCTTTGAAAGCCAGTTTTGATTATTGGGCCTTTGTGTGTTTGCATAGTAGCTACTAAGAAGGGAACTTGGGATGGGATTAGATCAAAGTCCTACAAACCTCTATACACAAAGATGTCAACATAAAGTAGTGACAGTGAATTGGCTTGGCCACTGCCACTGTTGCCGTGCTCCACACTAACCTTTTGGACATGAAGTGCACAGAGTTGCAGATCCATTGCAGGTTTTACAAGAAGAGTGACAAGGCTCATATTTTCTCAAAACATCTGTAGGGAAAGAAACAAGTGAGGCTTCTCCTTTGAACAGGCTCATAGTTTTACAGTGTTAGAAAAACCTAGTTTCCCTTCCAGTCCAAAATAAATCTCTTTGATTTTACATGAGCTGACTGTCGGTGCCTGTCACATGCCATTATGTAGACTTTCAATTTTTTTTTCCTCTTACTCCTTCATTGGCAACTGATTATGGACACTTTCTTTGCAACCTTACTGTGACAGAGAATGTAGGATCTTATAGGATTCTCCACTATTTCTTTCATATATTGAAAATATGGGGAAGTATTTGCCTGTGTGTATGCACTCATGAGTGAGCCTGCAAATCTAAGGTGATCACTCCTCCCAAGAGTCTTAATTGACCCCATCTCATCACTCCAAGGTGATCACCGTGAATTTACTGTGTCTCTCATGGAAAAGTATGTTTTCTTTTTCTTTTTTTTCCTTTTTTTTTTTTGAAAAGCAGATTTCATTATTGGTCAATATTTGGGTCCTTGTGTTATTCAGAGTAGCCACTATAGAATGTATCCTAAATTTATCTCATTTTAAATTTGTCCCAAATTATTATTAAACGTCAAAATCTTGTTGGTCAGGTTTTCTGAAGGCTGTCCAAGGTCGACACACCATTAACTTCACAAACACTCCAGATGTCCTGCTTTCCCTTTCCCTCCTAGAGCATTCAATGGGTAGACTTTTCCAGGAAGTCACCTCAGCAACTCCATGGGACAATTTCATAGACACCCAGAGCAGCCTGACTGATATTATTCAATCAGTGCATACTGTGATCTTGACTAAAGCTCAGGAATCAGTCTAACTCACTCAGGGGAAAGTTGGAAAAAAAAAATTCTAGCTTAGAACAGGTGACCTGAGTGATCTCTACCCTTGATCAAGTGTTAGCATTTTATAGTTCCCCTCTACCACCTCCTCCTCTTCGCTTCCTTCCTTCCTCTGTCTCTCTTTCTGGGAATCAGCCTGTTTTGGCTCTAGTCACACCTGCCTTCAGATCCCAGCTGTGCCTCTTGCGGGTAGGGTAACCATGGATACAGTAATCAAACTCTCAGAGTCCTACTTTCCATGTCTCTAAAATGAGAGAAAATGGCTCCTCCCTTATAGGATTGTTGTGAAAACTGAATGAGACAGCGTGTGTGAAGGGCTGAACACGGTGGCTCAGAGTGGTAGTTCCCAGGTTTCCTTTCCTCCCTCCCAGTTTTCAGTGTTCCACCCTGTTTCTGAAGCTCCTTTTACTTCCTTCTCCTTCTCCTCTGATTTCATACCCAGAGTGGCACCCAAGGTGTGGCTTGATGTCTAGGATTGCGTTTATGATTGAGACAGAATCAGATTTCCCAGCCTCACACAGCAGAAGAGGAAGTGAGGGAGAAAAGCAGGGCAGTCCCCACGAGGAACCAGGAAGAGAAAGGAGCAACCACAAAGTCAGACTTCAGGTGTCTGAGGTCCAGAAAGCTGGCCTGCAGCCTAGACTGGGGAATGAATCAGTCTCTCAGTGAGCAGAGAGTCACTGGGGGTGTCAGGAGATGTACAGAAAACCTAAAGAAGGATAAGGACACAGTGTACACCAAGAAAATAAGAAGCAGAAGTCACCGGGACATGTTTAGTAAAGAAATTTAAGAGGGAAAAATATAATCAAGTTAGTTTAGTGATAAATATTTGGTATCATTTTTGATACCAGAATAAAAGTGGATTCTGTAAATAATGATATGGGTATGTCTACGAGAAGAAAGAATTTTTGGGCTCTGGTTTGTCTTTAGAATCCTGCAAGGGGTTCACAAGGGGACCCCTTGGTCAGTTCCTGAGTGGTAACTATTTATGTCGGGGGCAGGTGGGCAAAGCATGTTTCCTCCATATTGCAGAATAAAGCCCTGCTTCCTGGAAAAAGAAAAAAAAAAAGCTGCTGAGCTTCATTATAGAAGATATCAGGGACCAATGTAATAATATGTGGATATAGATGTAGATATGGATATAGATAGATATAGATATAACTATAGACAGACATGAAGATGTAGATGTAAATATGCATGTACTAAAATACACACATAAATAATATATACAATACATATATATACAGACACACAAGTACATATATATGTAAATGATTGCCTAAGCTGACATACTGAGTGGCAGGTTTTTTTCTTAGTTTGGACAGATAGCTTTCCCTAATTTTCCAATATATTCCACTATATGGGTGTGTACCCCGCCCCTTGGGGAGGATCTGCTAAAAGCTTAATTAGCCCATGCAGAGCCACATTTGCCATGGGACTGTCACAAAAGAGGTCCACATGGCTCTCAACAGGACCAGTTCTGTCCCTGAAGGAGTTTTCACCAGACAATATCACTCAGCCTATGAAAGAAGTTGCAGAAAGATCAGTCAAGGAGGTTTGAGACATGTTGTTCAATGGATAGCCCAGAACACTCATCAGATAGGGAGTGCCCTGAATTTCTTCACTGTCATGTGTCCAGATCACAGGCTGATTTTTTTGGTCTTCTCATTTTTATGCTAAAACAGTATATTTAAAAAGATAATAAATTTCAATATTTTTTCATATTTGTGTAAAATTTAATGTCTATCCACACATACAATTGTATTTATAATTACATATATTCACATTCTAGCAATTTGATATTTTACTGCATCAAGTTGATATGGAATTCTGCAGTGTCCCCATGTGCCCACCAGAGGGGACTCTGAACAAGCAGTTCACAGCAATTAGGCAGCAAAATCATTCCCAGCTAGAGTTATCATAAAAGATTGGTGACTTAATCTAAATAATTTTGACCTTGATCATATTTTCCCTTTTTATCCCTCTCCAGAAATTCTAGACTGGACAGGACTTAATAAAGGAAAAGAAAGAAGAAAAAATTTCTCTTTGACCAAAAAGTATGGTACTCATCTTTCAGAAGTGACTATAGCTAAACTATATAAAGACAGGGCTTATTTATTTTATTTTATTTTTATTAAATAAGCTATAATCACCTTGTTCATGAGAGAGGGAAGGCATGTCCTATGAAATCTCCCTCCCAACCCCCTTCTGCAACCTTTTAAATACCAACAGTGTCTATTCACACAGTTGGTCACCTTGCCTCTTTCTTTAAACTTAAAATATTTCAGAGAGCATTCTTTCTTGGTACAAAAAATCCTCCCATTCTTCCTGATCTCTCCATAGCATTCCGCCCCCTCATATGGACATATTTTTTTTTCCAGCATTTGCTATCCCAGTCCCGTGGCTCTTCCTTTCTCTCTCAGAACTTCTGCACCCCACTTCCCTGGCCTCCCAGCTTCTTGGGTTGGCTTTTGCCCAGCAGAGGCTGTCTCTCCTCTGTCTGTTTCTCCTCTCTACTTCCCTGTTACCTCTTTTGATTTGAACCTTCCACCTTCGTCGCTCTTGCAGCAGGCTCTTCACCAAAGATGGATTTGCAGTGGGCACAGCTTCTTTTTTATTAAAAAAAATAAAGTGCTTTTTAATGCAAATGAAGGAGATAAACTTCACCTATAGCCCCACTACCCAGAAATGTCTGCTGGGTACACTTTGGCGCTTCGATTTCCCTTCTTTATATGGAAATGTGTGAGTGTAATTACATATACGTTTAGATGTGTGATGATTTACATCTTCTGTGTATTTAATACTGACACTGTGCATTGCATTTAACATTATAAATCTTATAGGTATTTTCTCTTATCATTAAAATTCTTTTAAATATCATTGGGGGGGCATGAGTATTTATTTGTATGAACCGTTATTTGTTTACTTTTTTGCTGCATTTTTAGATTGGTGCCCTATTTGTGTTGTTGTTGTTGTTGCTGTGGTTATCTTAAATAAAGCTGCTATGAACATCATAGTGAGGTGCATGCTTGTTTACTTCAGAACTTTTGCCTGGCATGTAAGCATCTTGATCATCATTTGCTGCCTTCTTTCTGTGACTACTGTCCCCAGAATTGCATTATTCTTTAGACCCCCAAATTGCTTTCTTTTATGAGCTAAGTGATGCTGCTTTGAAAGTGAACTTGTGCTTCAAGCATTAGGGAATAGACCAACTTTTAAAATGTCATGTATGTTCTGGAAGATTCATATTTATTCTGTCATTTAATTCTTAAAATGACTGGGCGAAGGGGCTTCATGCTCTCATTTTATAGACGAGGAAACTGAGGCTCAGAGAGGATGAGTAACTTGCTTAAGGTCACACTGCTAGGAAATAACAGAGCAAGGATTTGAATTCAGGTCTGCCTAACTCTGAAGTTGTTGTTGTTGTTAGTTTGCTGCTGGAGATTGAACTCAGGACTTTGGGTATGCTAGGCAAGCACTGTACCACTAACCTGTAACTCCAGCCCCTAGGTCTGCCTGACTATAAAGCCCATCTCTCTAGAGAGGTTTTTCCAATAATTAATTTAAACATTAATGTAGTTTGAGAGAGGCCAAAGCAATGGTGTGCTGGGTAAACAGCTCTCTAGAAAACAATAAGCTTGATTTATTTTGTGGCCAATTTCTATGGGTAAATACTCCCAACATGTAGATTTCAAGCTGTCAATGGATTAACAATATACTTAGGAAATTTCTGGATGTTTCATGATCAGTATAAGCCAATGAAAGTGGTTTCTTTATACCCATGGGCCACATGTTCAATTACTTACTGGTGACATGTGTTTTCTGCACACAGCATTCTGGTTGGTTAATTAAAACTGGTCTCATCCTCTCTTAGTTAAGTGAGGCACTACATGTATACATAAGGTCTTTCTAAAGTCAGATTTCTATGGTATCTTAAAGTGTGCTAAGTTTCAGTTATTGTAATGCAACACATCGCCCCACAATTGATCTTGATTTTCCCCCCTTGTGAGCTTGGGCTTTCAGTATTTTTTACTGACTCTGGAATTCCAGTCTTTCCCCAAGCTTAGGAATTAAGATCAAGACAGGCTAGTGATAAACCGTTAGGATGTGGTCAAAGATAAAAAGTTAATTCACCATGTCTGCACTTTGTAGATTAGACTCTCATCGGAATATGTAATTAGAGCCAGCTACAACATGGTTTTCATCAATGATGGAAGTAGGTGGGTAGAGAAATTTTCGGGAATTATTCCTAGGACTTCCCAGCATAACCAGGGTGGGGGACCCACTTAAGAAAATCCAAATGCTTTAACAGTAACAGAGGGATGGCTTTAGGAAACCAACTGAGGCCACCATCTTCTTTCGAAGCCAGGGGTCTGCTGCACTTGAACATTTCTATCAGCACTGGTTTTGGGTGATGCCTAAGTCACTGCTGAAGCCATTCACAGCCTGTTTAAGACTGGTTTTATTCATGCCATTTAGGGACACTTGACTAAATAATCTTCACAATGCATTAGTGAGTGGATCAGAGGGTCTGGGGATGATTTGTGGGTGTGCAGTGACATTGATGGCTTCAACAGAGTAGAACAGCCATCTTTGGAGATTCTTTGATCTTGGTTCGAAGACTTGCCAGTCATAAACTAAATATATGGAGCATTTTCATCTTGAACTAGGGTCCAATCTCTTCCTGCTCTTTTAGTACTTGACAAAGAATAATGTATCTCTCCTCACTGCTGATCTCATCCTGGTTAGTTGTGGTATTAACAAAGGAGTTCAGGAAATTCCAGTTGGATTTTTATTTCAGGGTATTCTCTCAGCACACAGTGACCTGTGCTCGTGGAGCAGGTTGTGATCTTTGGATGTGAACATGATCTTATTGTTTCCACTGGGGAGCAGCGTGGGAGAAGGAATGGACTCAAGTTCATGCTACCTTATCTTTCCTACCCGAATGTAAACAAATACATTTAAACAAAAACTAGTAAAAATCTTGTACCACCTAGGCAGCTCCAGTCTCTCACAAACACTCTGTAATTCGTCTGGGCTTCCTCTAAATTGACCCAGAATGACTGCAATCTGCTTTCCATCATCTGAAAGGTGTGGCTAATTAGTGCTCGCTCTCTGGAAGCCTCTACTCTCCTGTTACACTCTTGCCCTTGTTTTTAAGAAGACGGCAGGAGAAAGATGTAGACATTGGCTCCAATACTCCCAAGGCTTTATGGTATGAGTTTCCCATTTACTATCCATTTCAGTGCTTAAACTATGCTGGAGAAGCTGAGCTGTGGCCTTACCTTGCTTAGTGAATAATTTTTTTTCCTCTTTGTTAATGCTCTGCATGTCTCATTTCATAGATCATAGAAATGGAAAAGTGCAGCTATGTCATTGACTTTATAGCTTTTGTCCAGCCATGAGAAACATTCTCATCTGCTTCCCGAATCCCTTATTAGTGTGAAACCCCCAAATGGAATAAATCCTTCCTCTCTTCAAAAACATTACATTGTGATGGCAGAAAAAGTAGAGGGGTGGGTGTGGTGCTTTGACAAAGGGGAACAATCAAAGTCTGATTTTTGCTTGCAAAATGCGTAGTCCAGTTGAAGAGACGTGTAATCATTTGGGGAATCAAGTCCGCTCTGACTCTTGGCTCCCCGAACCTTTTCATCATCTGGACGCCAGATAAAATACAGATGTTCTTAGCGAGAAACACAGCACCAGACTATTTCCCTCTTGGCTTGCGCTGCCTCTTAAATGCCTGAATGCCAGACAAACTCGTTTTCAGCATTTTGGTTCAGCTATAATTCACGGAAGATATCCCAATCTGGATTGAATAATTTTCTCCCAGCTCTGTCTCTGAAATCGGCCCCGTGTGCTCTGCGGCCTTTGGCTGCTGGGTTTGGGATGTTCTCTTCCTTTAAGTCACATGTGCAAAACTGTCATAGCAGACTGCAGCCATGGACAGGCTCCTTCTGAAACCAGCATGAGACCTCTCTCTTGTCCCCTTTGAAGCTTCATCCTGTGCGGCCTCATTGAGTGGCCATTGCCTGTGCACTGTGGTGGCCCCTCACCAGATCTTTGCCCCCAAATCAAAGGGAGAGCACCTCTTGTTTTCACCAGTATTGCTGCATAGAATGTCAGTCTAATTTTTCCAGCAGGAAGATAATTTTTTGTTTTTGTTTTTGTTTTTTTTAAACCACCTGGAACACACAGAGGTCTCTGAAGGCATGCAATTTCCTTACCAGAAAGTCTGTAATGAAGACATAAATGTGAGGAGGCCAATTCTAAAGATTCAGGGAGGAATACATTGTGGCAAGTCTTTGGTATTCGAGTCCAAGCTCCCACAGTCTTCTTTCCTGCTCCCCGTGCCCCTTGCTTTCCCCATCTACAACTGGGGAGGGCAACTTTTAAAAGGTGAGCACTAATGATGGCAGATTCTTTTTCTTGTTTGCTTTTTGATTTTTTCCCCCCATACTGGGGATTGAACCCAGGGGCACTCCATCACTGAGCAATAGCCCCAGCCCTTTTTATTTGTTTAATTCTAAAATTTTGAGATAGGGCTTCACTAAGTTGCCCAGGCTGGCCTGAAACTTGCAATCTTCCTGCCTCAGGGATTACAGGCCTGTGAAACCAGGCCAAGTTTGTCCTGATAGGACTCATTCCTGCCCCTCCCCTCCCCTTTTCTCTCTCTTCCTTCTTCCTTCCTTTCCTCCTCCTTCTCCTCCCTCCTCCTCCTCCTACTTCTCCTCCTTTTCCTTCATCTTCCTCTTCCTCCTGCTCTCCTTCTCCTTCTCCTTCTCCTCTCCTTAACTCCTGAGCTCAAGTGATGTTCCTATCGCCTGATATCTCCTGGAGTAGCTAAGACTAGAGGTGCATGCCAGTAAGCCCAGTTGATTAATGACAAATTTTAATTCCTACAGCAAGATCATCTGTTTTAGTCTAAGTTCCAGTATGTTAGGTTTAACTGGCAAAGTTTCCAATGGGTGAAGGTTTCCTTTAGCATGATGTAAAGATAAGTGTGACAGAAGCCATTCTGAAAATTTATTGTTTTTCTTATATTGTTGTGGATCAAACCCAGGATTTGCACCTTCTGGGAAAGTGCTCTATCACTGAACCACACCTCCAACCCCTATTCTGAAAAGCTGAGAAAATGGTCATTTCCCTTTGTGACTTTCTTTACAGGTCCTTGGGTCATCTTCACCCAGGTAGAAACTTTTAAGACCGGACCGTTCATAAATTGCACCTTGGGCTCCCCCTGCCGGCCAAATGCCAATCACCGTTTCCTACCCTCTCAGGTTGCAAGCGACCTGAGACCTGGGAAACCCGCTCCAGTTTCACGCCACTCTCATTTCTCTGCACAGTCTTCCTCTCTTGGATAACTCAGAAATAGGGGTTAAAGAGGATGGGGCACAGCGTAGGTGGCTAGGCCCCTGCGATTTCTCTTTGGGAGGCACATACCGTTCCAGAACTTGCCTTCCACCTGGTTGTTGGCGGGCCAGACGCACGTGCCGTGCCGCAGCTGCTGTCCTTCCCCGCACCTGCTGCATTCGTCATCTCCAACGCCGGTGCAGGCTTCACAGGATGGGTGGCAGGGCTCGCATTCTCCCGTTCCCTGGTCTCCATAGAAGCCAGGACCACATTCCCTCACACAGCTGCCACCTTCGTAAGAACATGAGGAGGACTTATGAAGGTGGGGCGCTTGCCGGCCTAGCTTGAAGCACTAGGTGAGGCCAAGTTATAAAGCGATTCTCAGGAACATTTGTTTTTTTTTAATGTTGTACCTGGGATTGAACCCAGGGAAGCTTAAGCACGGAGTCACATCCCTAACCCCTTTTAAATATTTTATTTAAAGAGAGGGTTTTGCTAAGTTGCTTAGGACCTCAATAAGTTGCTAAGGCTGACTTTGAACTTGGGATCCTCCAGCCTCAGCCTTCCCAGATGCTGGATTTAGAGGCTTGCGCCACCACCCCTGGCTCAGAAACATTTTTTTTTTTTATTGCACTTGATTTTAAAGAAACTAAGATGGCTTTAGCATATTTTAATCAAAGAATGTATTTTAATAATCTGATACTAAGTCCTTTTTCTACTGCAAATTTAAACTGGCCATTGGCTTAAAGGGTTAGGAGCTTTGAATGAACACCACAACATTCTTGATATCTTGAAACACTACAAAGAAAATGAATCTCTGTTGAGATAACCATGGAAGTTCATTGTGGACTGTCTGCCTCACTCCCTCTCCTCAAATATTTGAAAACACTGGGCTATTTGTTCTTCAGTTGGAAGACTCACAGTATATTTCTTTCCCAACTATCCATTTCCATCAAGTCGATGAATTTAAGGTAAGGGATCTTGTTCAACTCTTAATGGGTACAGGAATGTATAACATGGATTAATTATCAAGAAAAGCATCATGGTTCTAAATACTCCAGGTGACTTCAAAGCCAAAACTTTCGTCTTTAGGTCCCCTGTCCCCTTTCCCACCCAACTCATTCTTGTTTCCATCAGCTTGGAGAGTTGAGATGAAATAGTGAAATATGAACTGTGCATTAGAAATAAATGCAGAAGGAAGTACTAATGTTTGTTTTCAAATCAAATTAAAATTCCTTCTTGGACCAGAAGCACCAGCATATGAGGACTCTCAAACTCATCACAGGAGTGCTCCTATTGCACTTCCTGGGTAGAGCTGCGCTTAGAGCTCTCTTTGTATGATGCCATATTTTGACTTACCCAAGAGAAAGAAGCCCTCTTCACACCAGTAACACTCATTCTGGTCACAGTTGCCACAGTTAGTATCACATGCTTTGCATTCCAATTCTTCACTGTAGGTCTTCTCAGGACAGGTTTTATAACAATGGTGCTCAAACCTAGGGGAAGAGGATGTAGTTTCTTCCATGACATGTGCTGATATTTTTATTTTAACTGCCACAATTTAATCTCCTCATACATTTCTATGCAGCATTTTTTTCAGTGTCTCAAATAAGCATTTTATTTTATGCAGCATTTGTAACAGAAGTAGATAATTGGATTTCAGGGGAGGAAACTGGATTTCTTGGTGTGATTTTCCCTGTCAAACCAATTCACTACCTACTTCTGGACTTCTGAGGGCTATGTCAGGGCATCCGAGAGGAGGCTGGGGAGAAGGAATGGGGTACTAATGTTTGTTTATGGAGTATGTTCACGTATCAAATCATTTGAATTGTTGCACAAATCCCATATGGTAGATATTACTTATTTTAAATTTCTAGATAAGGGAACTAGAAGTTCTAGAAGTTCAAGATCTGGTGCTCAAAATCTAGTTAAAGTTGGGACCAGGATTTTAATCAAAGTCTGTGTGAACAGATAGCTTATGTGATTTACCAGACAGCAGTTGGCACTTAAAAGACCTGAGACAGCTCAGTGTTGAGCTCAAGTAGTTTACCAGAATGTCTGTAACTAGATTATTAATAACAGTGATTATTAATAGCTTCATCTTATACACACATATATGCACACACATATATAACATACATGTGTGTATATATGCATATATGAATTATTACATATATTATCTATTATTCTCATTATACAGCAAAATGTTGTAATTCCGACTCCACTGAATTTTGGAAGGAATTTGAAGGAAGAGTAGAATGAAGTTGAGTCTTGTCCTTTGGTGAATATCAAAGCATCATCAGGGGAAGCCTTTGCATTTCTTCCTTAGCCATTTCTAATGTACTACACCTCTTCAGCTTTATTCAAAAGTATATGTGTGTTTTAGCTTGGTGGTATTAGAGCATGTTATTTCAGTGCATTTCTTTCTTAAAGTGTTTTATGAACCATGCTCATTAGTGAGCCAGTGACACTGACAAGGCTGGATTCCAGGTTTCACAGATAACACTCCAGGTTGGATAGGTAACAGGTGCAGGTGGTGGTGGTGAGGTGTATCCAGGTATCAAAATGCAGAAGTAGGCAGGATAGTGTGAGATTGGAGTGATAGGGAGTGATAAGAAGGACTGGGAATTCCTTGCCCACTGCTGCATGTCCCTATATTTTCTAACTTTAAGACTAAGCTTTCCTTGTCCAGTTCTTCAAAGAACATTTTGTGTCCCCACCATGTGACTTCACCAGGGAACACTTGCATTTCTGCCATTCATTCTGCTTCGGGATCCCATGGAAAGCCATATGCTGCCTAAATGTCGACTACGAACATGCTGACAATTTACATTCTGCTCATTAAATGTCATCTGGTGTATCTTATAATAGTCAAACCTGAGGCCTCTTCAGCACCCCTCCTTCCGTGTTTAAATGAAACAATAATTTAAATCAGTGGGTCAGAGGTGCAGAGACCCTGGCAATGTAGAGGAAAAGTCATTCTGGAAATGTTGGGTTAAAACCACACCTCTAAGAATAGGCTGAGTATCTCTAATGCAAAATTCCAAAAGGCAAAACACGCCCAGCTTCATAGCTTCTTGAGCATGGAAGAAAATTTCACACCATGAAACTTTGTCTCATGCACAAAATTGTTAAACATACTATGTAAAATTACCTTCAGGCTATGCGTATAAGGTGTATATGAAACATAATGAATTCTGTGTTTGAATTTGATATTCCAAAATCTGGAAAATAATCTGAAATATGAAACACTCTGATCTCAAATTTTAGTTAAAGGATACTTAGTAAAATGAGAAAGTTAAGTCATCTTTTAAAACTATGTTTCAGTTGTTGTCCCATTATCTTCACTCCTTTCACCATCTCCTGACCTACAACCGCAATTGGAGTTCCTAGAATCTGGTGAACCCACAGGCAATGTGGTAACAGAAGAAAGTGACCCACCAATGCTGAGATGACCTGATAGAGCCTGGCCACTAGCTTGGGTGTAATATGAGATGACCCAGCACCTCCCTGAGCTTCCCTTTTTCTCAGAGGTAAACATTGATCCAGTGTCCCTGATGATCTTTATGAAGGGTGCATAGTGAAGGATGGACTGTTTTGGCCTGGCATCAACCTGGGCCTTCCTGCCCCTTTCATCTCTTTCCTTTTCTTCATTGTCTTTCAGGAGAGGCAACAATATAAGCGGGAAGGGAGACTAAGATAGGAAAGGAGGTGACATAGAAGCACACTATCTTCGTTTTTGTAGGTTTTGATTAAAGAACATTGAGGTTGATGATTTTCTGTGTTTCGTTTAAATGAGCGTTCTGCGTCTCTCATTACACATGGGATGATACAGAGCTGAGACGGAACCTGGTTTCCCCTGGAGCATTCAACTCCAGTTAGGGACAGGGTTTCCATGCAGACGTTCGGAAACAGCCTCCTTGGGGTTGGTATATGCTTAAGGTCTGTCCATAAACAGCAAGGTCTGAATCTTGGTCACCCATGGCGAGATTCCTAGACACCAGTGTCAGGCTGGATGACATCCAGAAAAAGAAGGCCTCCTTTTGAGTCAAGAAAACAGCTGGGCTTTTATTGCTAAATCCAAGAATTGCTCATTAATAGCCCACAGGACAGAGTTGCTTCAGGGCCTCTGTGCTTTAATCACTGGATTTAGGATTAAGTCAGTAATGCTGAAACTGCAGAAAAGTTAGTGTCATGAAAAAAAAAAAAAGAAGGCCAGACTTACATGTAATACCCTGCAGCACATGAGGTACAGGTTCCTGGATCATCTGGAAAACAAAAAAATTACAATAATGAAAAATGACCATCAACCGCATTTTTGTTATTGGAAAAAATGAATTTTGGAAATGTGGTGGTGTGAGATAAATAATCTTCTGGTATGGTTTTATGAACAGCATTGTCCAGAAATGATATTTGAACAGATTGCACCATTTCTAATGAGTAACAAGAAGTACACTAGGAATTATCTCTATCAAAGTAATAAGAGTTCTCATAAACACTTGGCCTGACTTTCAAGGAGGAATAGGGCCAAGCTACCGGGTCTTCAAATTAGATCACCCCCCACCCCCATCCACATTAAGAATCTTCTGGGCTGGGTGTGTAGATGAGTGGTAGAGTTCTTGCCTAGCATGTGTGAGGCACTGGGTTTGATTTCCAGCACTGAAAAAAACAAACAAACAAACAGCAACAATAACAACAACAAAAAAACCCTTCATGCCCCTGTTGGGGTAACAGCATCAGTCATATCTACCCAAAAATCCAAATAGGGATTACAAGCGTCTGACCCAGAACTGTGGGTTTCCCATGAATTTCCCTAAATGCCTGCCAATGGGAGGGAGTGTCATTTGAGAAGGTCCTTTGAAATTGGGACAGTTATTTTTCCCAATACAAGCACTCACTTTGTGTTCTGCGCTTGACAACCTTCTAAAGAAACTGTCCTGTTCTCATTAAGTGTAATGACTCAATGTGTCCCTGTTGGCTTGGAGAAGGGTTCACTCTTGTAGCTCTCAGGGGACTTAAAAGAGAGAGACAGGATTTTGAGAATCACCATCTCAGTCTGTCTGCCCATCCCCAACATTGTCACTCTCAGATCTGATTATAAGGAAATTCTGTCACTTTCTCTGGTCCCCAGTTTCCTCTGGCTGTTTTTTTTTTTTTTTCCCTATGATCTGGCCTCACCCTAGTCCTGCTCTTTCCATTGTAATAGGAGATGAACACCAATTGCTCCTTAAACCATTCCTCTTGGTATGTGGAGATTTCACATCACATTTAACTTTAAACTAAGTCTTTGGAACTTCGCACATACTCTCTAATCTTGTCTGGACTGTGTCCTGGTTTTCTCAAATCCTGCCCTTTTGGGGGAGGTGTAGAGAGTGGTTCACCCAGTCTTTAGTCACACACTGATCTTGGATCAACCTAGGAATGCTTCAAGAGGTCACTACTGTCTACTGTACATGTATCACGCTCAAAATTATAGTGAGAAGATTGCTAAGAGAGGCTCTGCCACTTTAAGCAGGTATCCTTAGAACCTTCTGGAAATAGCCTAGTGATGGAAATGGCACTGGCCTGGGGATTAGACACATGTTTCTAGTTTTAACTCAGATTTAACTGTCTCACAAGCATGCTTAAATACCACTCTTATTTCTTAGGTCCTGGTTTCTGCAGGTGTAAAATAGTTCATTGGACAAGAAGTTTGTTAAGTCTCTCTGACAGTCAAAGATTCCAAAATTCAGTCTAATAGGAGTTAGGAAACTATGGCCCACCCTGTAACTGAATTCAGCTTTGGACATTCATTTATGATGTATGATGTATGAATGCTTTCATGGTATAGCAGCAGAACTGCATGGTTGCAACAAAGATCTGAAATAGCTACTATTTGCCACTTCACAGAAAAAGCTTGCTGACTTTGTCAAGCTCACCTGTTAGGTGACACCTGTCATGATTGACTTATCAGATGAATGGTCCCAGAGCTCCTCTTAGGCAGAGAACTATCTATATTTAGGAAAATACCTTGTTAAGTTACTTGGGGTAGAAATTTAGTTAGAAGGGTTGAACAAGAGCCAAGACAACCAAGGTGATACAAAGGCCCTTCAGCAGGAGGCCATGATTTTTGTTCTTGGGAAGAAAATGGATTTTAATGTCTGTGTCAACATGGTTCATAATAAGGTGACTTAAATAGGACAGTGAAATGAACCAAAAACCAGGGTAATTAAGTAGAACCAAGAAGCCGAAGGTACTCATGAGAAAGAAAAGCTCTCTGACATTCTTAGAAATCCTGGGAGGGCTTTATGCTTCTGCCGTCTGTGGACTGATGATGTAAATCCATTTTAAGGGTGTACAGAGGTTCTAATGAACACCAGGCTCCACAGGGCTGGTTCATTTCCCACTCTAAACCTATTTTTGCATCTATATTCTTTTCAGTTCTTCTTCTAAGTAACTTGCTGCTGCTCAGCTTGCATTTGGGCAGCTTACTTTTCTCTTTTTCTCTGCCTGTCCCTGATGAACATATTCGGCTCTGACAGTTTT